AGCCTTATTATCAAGAGAAATAGTGCCTCCCAGTAATTACCCAGGCAGAAAAAAACAGTTGAAATAGAGCAGAACACTGCAAAGAAGTTCATTACATTCATGCCAAGGGCTTTTGGATGTTGAATGCCTGTAAGCACAGAAAGCACAAACTGTAAAGTCCATAGTTTTGAGCAGATCCAGTGCTGTTCAGGTGCACAAGACCTCAGTGAGTGCTTGACTTCTGGATCTGGAAATATTGCAGTCTTTGACTGTCACAGGTTAAACCACAGATGTAAGAAATTGATGTAATATGTAATGACCCCATTTAATCTAAAGTGGAGCAGAGTTACATTTATCCTCAGGCTGGAATTTGATTGCTCAGACTCCATGGGTTCTTAATTTGCTGATCTCTCTTCTGTCATCTTTTCTCCTCCCTTTCATTCCTCTTACTCTCTTAAGCAGTCTCCAGCTCTCTCATGCTTTTCTGACATCTTTTTGGTGCCAGAAGCAAATATTCATTCACTTAAACTTGTTTTTTTGATGCACTCTTCACCTGTGCAGAACCTGGGATCAGAGGCTTGCTAGAATTTGTCCTACCCTTGTTGTTACCTCTGTCCTCCTTAAAAGAGAACAGGAGGGCCAGCTGAGCATATAATGTGCCTTTTGGAACCATGTCCCTGCCAGCTGTTACAGCTCTGCAAGGAACTGTGTGGAGTCTGACATGCACTAGTCACTCAGAGCTTAACGTTAATGATGCTCTGAAAAACTCAAGCATCTATATATTTCTTCCTATAAAATTATATTTTCACCAAGGCCTGGCCTTCTTCAGTTCAGGATGGGAAAAGGTTTGAATTTTTTTTTTTTTCTTTAGGTATCAAAATACAGAGCTTATTCTAACTGGACACATTAATACCATTCAGCTGCTTCCTGGTAACTGCTCCATTAATGTCTGTCAGCATGGCACCTTCTCCACTCATAACCTTCTCACAGACAAGACAGCTTTCCTCGCAGAATGGAGATACTTGACAAACTACCCCACAAAATGTCAAGATGCTGCTGGATGAGATGCCCTGAGACATTTGTGACACAATGGTATCTGTGAAGAAATGCAGATAGGACAGGTGGCTGACAGTTAGGTACTTTGTCTATAATTCCTCTGAACTACTGTCAGGCACCTTCTTAAAGATAGTGATTACCAGGAGAAACGTCTCCCAAAAAGCAGTACTTGCGGTAACTATTTTGAAATGGTATGTGGGATGCATGTATCCCTTCTGTTATTTTCAGAGGACAAATAACATAGGTCAAGACTTACGGAATAACAATAATGGATTAATATAATAGTAAAACAGACTGGAGAGTCTAAATAAAATAGACTTCAGAGCCTGGGGCAAACTGTGTTTTCTAAACCGTTTCGTAAAATGGGCTGAAGCAGCTGTTTGAGCTCAAGTAAATCAGGGAGAAGTTGCCTTTGAGTGACTGAAGGGCTAGCTCAAATGCAGCTGGTTGGACTGGTTTTCTCTGCCCAGAATACAAACATATTGCTCCCTGGGTGTCTTTCTGCAGAGATACTGCTGTGACTGCCTTCTCTGCAGAGAAACAGCACATTACTTGTATCAAGAGGGTAGCCACCTTCTAGACATGCAGCCATTATTTTTCTCAGACCGCAAAAATGATATGTCCAAGGTAAAACAAATACATAAGTAAATGAAGTTGCTCACAAAAAATGTTTTTGCCTGAATAATTAATTCATCAGCAAAATTTCCCATAATAAAACATGCCTTAATGAGCTATCAGGAGGAGAGGAAATTCATCACTTACGTCTCAAATATCAGCTTGAGAGCACTGTTCATGTCAGATGGTATAATTAATGACTTGAGAGGGAGCATGGAGCAACAAAGCCAAAACCACAGTCCCCATCAGTCATTCCACATCAGTCCAACTCATACAGTGTTACTTGATCTGCAGAGGATTATCCAGGCAGCTAGATGAAGATATGGGGCTGAAGGGAATATGGGCAAATACAGTACATCTGATCTTGATTTATCCAGGTTGGTTTTACGCTTATCACTGAGGGGCAATGGCAGTTGATCGTGTGGCTTGTTTTATTTTGGTGAGGGTTTTTTTGTTTGTTTGTTTGTTTGTTTGTTTTGGCTTGTTTTGGTTTGGTTTTTGTTTTTTTTTTTCCAGAGAAAGAGAGTTTGCTAACTTGCGACTTCACCCTCCCTGATGCTGAGCAAGCTGCCTTCAATCCCATGTCAGCGCATGGGTCTTTGTCGGGTTTCTTCCCTGCGGGAGATGAGAAGCTCCTGTGCAGAAAGCCTAGGCAAGCCCCATCTGAGCTGCAGGCAGGAGTTCTGGGATGTCGTGCTCAAGATGTGGTTGGTCATGGTGGGGCTGCAGTAAGAAGACATCTGAACTGTGCTCCAGGGACAGCCAGTAGCTGATGCTTGGTTTAGAAAAGAATGCAGGATGCTGGCAAGTGCACAGTGATCATTTTGTGACAGTACCTTCTCAGCAATCTGCTGTTCAGGGACTTCCTGACATGAAGGTTACTTCCCAGCTCTATGTTTAGGAGTCCTTGATGGCCTTTTCCCCCATTAGTTTCTCTAATCTCTTTTTGAACTTATTTTTGGCCCCTGCAGTGTCCTGTGATGAGTGCCACAAAGTAATTATTGTGCTGTGGGGCATCTTTTCCTGTGTTTTAGAATTTCTGCCTGGCCTGTATGTTTGATATTCTCCATTCCCTGTGATATGAGAAAAAAAAAAAAAAAATATTCACCTTGCCTATCTACCCCAGTTTCCCCATGTTAAGGAAAATCAACTTATTTAAGACTTTGTAAAATACCCTCAAATTTACTCCACTAAAGCAGCTGTGTATTTTAGAGGTTAAGTTCCAGTCTAGGATTTACATGAGAGAAGGGTATGAGAAATCCAGGCAGCTGCCTGACAGTTTTGATTGCTACCTCGTTGCTCACTCCAGTGTGTGGTCACTCCATCTGACCAAGTACTGCACTTCAGTAGCTGTCAGCCTGCTGTATGCAGCTGTCTGTTAACATCTGCAAACATCTGACTGTATTTTCTGAATCTCTCTGATAAATGCTCCCTTGAGTTTGTTCATCAGCAAAGACAGCTTTACATGCTCTGCAAATGACCCACATGTTTCACCTCTGCAATAACCTTCCTGAAACATAGCCCTGTGGTAGCTGGTGGTAAGATCTGAGCATGGGGTTTGCCCAAGGCAAAGCACCATTGGCATCTGCTAGCCCTTTTTGTGGGCTCCAATGTAAGCAATAACTAAGCTTTTATGTGATGTTGACCTCTCAAGTTGACTTCAGAGAACATTATCTAGCAAATCTGATGTGTCAGGTTTCAAAGAAAATAGTTTTCCAGATCAATCCAGGTGTGATTTCCTTCCGGATAAAGGACGAAATCCTTTGGGAACCCAGCACTTTGTGGAGGCAAGGTTAAGAGCAACAAACTTTCCTTCTTCCCAGACTGAAATATCAGCGAAACCTTTTCTGTTAGGAGTGCACGTCTATCCACACAGGGTCAGGTCAATGCTCTATAACTCATCTTGCAAAATTGAAATACAATTTTTGATTATCAGAGTCGGGTAAGGATCAGAAAAATGGCCTGACATATTGCATACATATATACTGACACAAGGTTTTATTCAACAAGCAGGTTCTGCAAGAAACCTACTTTCCCTGTACAGATACAGCAAGATTTAAAAATAATATTCATTACGTATGGTTTAGAATGCAGCTAAATTAATGTCTTTTCTGGGAATCCCCCAGTGCGTACCTCAGGCTGTATATGAAACCTCTTAGGAGAATAGAAAAATAATTGTTTTGTTGCCCAATGGAAACCCAAACCTGAAAACCCATGTGTGGTATATTCAGGGTCCCAGTCTCTCATCTGCTGCTTTAAATGCTACCTAAGAAGTAGTACAGTGCCTAAAATGATCATAAACAGCTCTGGAAGTAAGAAGGGATCTGAGACATGCAGGTGATCTTAAATGGGATATGGCTAGGAGACTGGATTAGGAAATGACTTTACCTGGAACTGGACATGAATTGCGGTGTCTTGCATCGAAAAGAGGATTCATGTTTAGATGGAAAAATTAAATTGTGATCAAGGGGAAACTAAAAATTGGCATCAATTTCATTTGGATTTTTGTGCTGGCAGGTGAGTAACTGAGCACAAGTCACATTCCTCTAGCCTTTTGCTTTCTTATATCCTAGCCATGCAGTCTGAGCCCTACATCTGAGGGGATGCTCTGATGTCTAAGTGTGGTGTGGGGTAGGGTGGTGGTCCCTAACAGTGCAGAGAGAGGTGGATGCTTATCTCAGGGAATCTAGTGAGTGGCAACAGTCCCTGCCATGCACATACCATTGCTGTGCTGGTCTGTTCTCAGCTTGAAGTCCAGCTGGAGCTCAGAGTTATTTTCTTTCACTGCTACTACATCTGCTAGCCAGGAGACAATGCAGGTGACCCTAACCCTGGGCAGCCCCTAACTGACAACAAAGATAAACAAAAGTTAGAAAGTTATTCTACTTCTGCTTTTGCTGCCACTTGCAATACCTTGTTGGGAGGACGACTATGTGGGTTAGGAACAAATCCACTCAGCCTGCAGGTCCTGGGGTGGCTGTGCACCCTGTCCCTTACTGCCACCACCTGAGGTTGGTGGCCAGAGTTTTAGAAGCTGGGGTCAAACTGGGCGGGGGAGGGGTGGGATGGGTGTGTGTGGGGGGGTGGGGGCAGTGTGTGTGGGGTGGTGTATGGTGTATCTATTTTTTCCCTTTTTTTTTCTTTTTTTTTTTTTTCCTTTCCCCCCCCCCCCTTTTTTTTTTTTTTTTTAACGGCTGCAGTGAAGGGCTGCATGTCACCAACACTGGTAACATCAGTGTCGTATGTCATTAGGGGGATACCCTACTGTGGTACCCAGCCCTGCTGGGGAGGCACAGACTGATTTAACCCCCTGAGCGCCGGGGCGTAGCAGCGGCCAGATTTTCCCGAAGAAGGGGGGATTCCCCACAACATTCTTTCCTTTCTACTCCCCGCGCAAGCCCTGTAGCCATCAGTAGGGGCAGCTCGGGCAGCGGGAGAGGCAGCAGCTGTATTCGGAGGAGGCAGCGCATTGCACTGCGCATCCTCCCTCCCCACCCCCTACTGCTTCAGGCTTCCTCCCTTCATCCCACTATCCGCCCCCTCCCCCGCATCCCTTCCTCCTGCATCCTTCCCTCCTGCATCCCTCCCTCCTTCCTTCCTTCCCTCCCTCCGTCAGCCTGCGCAGAGCCGCGGACATGGCGCTCAGCAATTTCCTCTTTGCTCAGTGCATCTGCTACTTCTTGGCCTTCCTCTTCAGCTTCATCGTGGTGGTGCCCCTCTCCGAGAATGGCAACGACTTCCACGGCCGGTGCCTGCTCTTCACCGAGGGCATGTGGCTCAACGCTAACCTGACGGTGGAGAGGCAGCGTTTCACTGTACAAGAGTGGGGGCCCGAGGCTGCCTGCCGCTTCAGCATCTTCACCGGGCTCCTCTCCCTCCTGCTGGCCACAGTGCAGGCCTGGAGGACCCTCTTCTTCCTCTGCAAAGGGCATGAGGAGTAAGTATCCCTGGGGAAGGCAGGGTGTGCCCATCCCTCCTGCAGGCTGGGGCAAGTGGGAGCATCCTGGGTGTGAAGCACTGGGCTTTGCACCATCCAGATCATCCTGCTCTCTGGGGGCTTGGGGTGAGGCAGTGTATTGCCTGTGTCTGTCTGCACACACACACCATGTACACCCCACGTGTGTCCAGGGTCCTCTCTGGACAGTGTTCTCCTACATGGGTTTCGGGTAGGGGGACAGATTCACTGCTTTGCACCCGCTGACCTTTAGAGGTCTGGGGGCAGCATCTAGCCAGCAAAGCTGTGATGGGCATGGAGGGTTTCTGGGGTCTTGGGGTGATGCTGGAGGCTGGGGCTAGCAGGTGTCTCCTGACCATGGTCCCACTACATGTCCCTGTAAAAGGGGGCCTTCCCAAAATGTGTATCAGATGTGTGAAAAACCTTGAAACAGGATGGTTTTACATGGTGGGGGGGAGGGCAGAAGGGAGAAGTTGGTGGTTCCCCTCTTTTTCCTGCTTTTGTGGTGGACATGGCAACAGTTGCAGAGAGCAACCATTGCTTGGTTACGACATGAGAGCAATGTTGATCACTCCCTGCAGCAGCTGCAGGGCTGCACTGACAGCTGGGTACTGTGCTCAAGTAAACCAAGGGGCATCATATCCCAGCTGAAATAGTGAGAGACTTGGTGGTCCAGGAAGCAGCTTGGGAGCTCTGTGCTTGGCTCTCTGATGGCCTATCCTGCCACCTTGGGTAGAGCCCCTGACACAGGTAACCCAGCCTATGCGTGTTACGGGTCCAGGGCCTGTCAAGCATCCACCTGCACAAAAATAGGAAGGCAGGAGCACACACTGGTGACTGGCTAGACAGGAAAGTTATTTCCTCATGGTTTAAGGAAAATGCCAAAGGCAAATCACTTGTGTCCAGATCTATTTGTCCTAGAGGTTTCCTGGGTCAGTGGCTGTTAAATCTGGGCTTGTACAATACCCCGATATTGGTAATATCAGGAACTGTGTAGCAGTGTTGTCTCTCTGGCTCTTTCTGACCACCCTCAAGCTGCCTAATGACAAAACATGGTATAAGTATAGACTAGAAAGTTATTTCCATATTAAAAATTACCTTACAAGTTCTAAACATAACCATGCACTTCTTAATACATTTGAATTCAGCTTCCTCAGGTGACCAGATATCTATAGAGGATTAGGTAAATCCAGATGCTTTTTTTAAGTTTTGTAGTTCAGAACTAGTTGATTTTTGGAAGAAACCAGCAGTAAGAATCTTGTAATAGTGAAAATTGGATCAGATATTTGGCCTACTTCTAGACATGGCTATTTATTTCAAAACTGTTCAGACGGCCCCTGAAAATTGTCCCAGAAACAAAGCAAGTTGGCATGACATAACCATAGGCATCACAAAATGGTAAAACAAGATGAGAGAGAAGCTCCTGGAAAACAGCATTTTCCTATTAAGAAAGAAGGTCTGTCTTGTACCAGATCTGCTGCTGTCTGTCAAGCAGGACACATGCTGTTAATGCTTCAAATGGGCACAAAACCAGTTCTGTTTAGATGTAGAGATAAATGTGAGCTACTCATCACAGATGAAAATTGCCATTTCTGATTAGTTGTGGTAGTTGAGGATGAATCACAATGACATCACTGCTGATCCTATTGAGCAGGACCACTGCTGCTGGGCCAGTCCCAGGGTGAGCTGTCCAGAGGCAGTCAGGGTTGGCACCCTATGGATCCTAGCAAGGTGGCCAATCTTCATGTGAATGCTTGCTGCTAAAAATCCTTCTTAAAAAGCTCTCAGCACCCCTTGCCTCCAGGACAGACAGAGCTGAATTTCCTTGCGGGAGTAGAAAAAGCAAGCGCTAGCTTGCCAGTCCTGCTCTGGGCCTGGGACTATTTAGCTCAGCTGAAAGGTAGAAGTACAACTCAGATACTTCATTACCAGGAATGCAAAGCAACTTCTACTTTGACTCTAAGCATGTATTACTACAGGGCATTCATTCAGTCTGGAATGTGTAGCTCGAAATTCTGATCTAAGAAGAAAAATAGGTGAGGAAGAGAGCCAGTTTAGCACAGTTCTCTACCAGGATGCCCTGGCCTTATGAATTTCTAGCACACAGTGATGTTTACTGATTGCCAAGTACAAATCAAGCCCTGCTTTGGCAGTGGAAGGTCAGATTCTGGACCCTGGCATCTCTTCTGCTGCAGAGTAGGAAGCAGAGGGAGGACTAGACATCCTGGGCTGGTGATGATCCGCCAAATAATCCTAGTAACTGTTTTTTTCCAGAGCTCTTACTAATTCTGATGTCAGCTCTGTTTTTATTCAGTGAACAGCTCAAGTCTTTTCTGACTCTCAGGCCAGCCCACCATGCTGAGGTGCACACAGTGGATACAGTCTTAGCAACACTTGGGATGAAATGCAGGCTAGGCTACCCCTCTAAAGCCATGTCAAACCAGGAGCATTACCCCACTGGTAACTGTTTCATTTTAAAGAAATTCTCCTTATATGCCTCACCACATACAACCTGTAGAAATTAGGTTTGTCTAGCCCAGAACATTCCTAGGATTCAAACACTGACTCAAAAAGTCTCTCAGCTTTTCGTTTAATGAGCCACCATGGAAAAGAAATTGCTGTTTGTTTTGTTTCATTTTGTTTTGTTTTTCTCTGTGGTGAGCAGACTCCTATCCCCAGCATAATGAAAGTGGCACTGGTGGGAAATTCATCATGTTCATCCTTACCACCTAATCTGGATAGGATGACCTGCCTCTTGCAGATGCCAGTCTTTCTCCAACCTAGAGTAGATGTCCAGTTTTTAGGTAATGGGAGTGCCACATAGGGCAGTTTCAAGTAGAGAAAGCGCTTGGTCAGATGGATGAAAAAAAGGATTAGAAAGTTTTCACTAGCTAGAATTAAGTAGAGGGAAGTTAAACAGTGAGGTTGGAATTCCCTGGCCTCATAGGACCACTGTGAGCATCCTACCACATACCACTTCAAAAATGGCATGTACCTAGAACTAACCCTGGTTGGGCAGATTTAACAAGGCTGATGTAAACTGATATTCAGCTGCCAGAAATAACACCAAAGTCAGAGAAGTTCCAGGAGAAGCTGGCCTGCTCTGCAAATTGCCCACAAAACTGAGATTGTTCTCCTATGATGACAGTACCTTGTTACGTTGCTTAAAATGTTTATTTTTTACATTGCTTAAATGTAAGTTACATTGCTTAAAATGATTATAGCTATCAGTACTGTTTTTTTTACTTTTAGTTTCCTTCTCCTAGGCAATTTTTTATCCCAGTTATGATGGGGACATAATTAGTCATGAAATAATTTTAGCTCCATTAACTATATAATTTAAGTTAATGACATTTATTTTTAAAATTGTGATTTTCATCATTACAGCTAACAAAAGCCATGCTGTGTATGAACAGTCACCACCTATTTTACATATTTAAAGCACCATCCTCTTAAGATGAAAAAAATTATCAAAATCAAAAGCACTTATAATGTAACTCAAAATAATAATCTGTAGTTTTTCAATGTATTAGGTGTTCTTAATTAAACCAGATGTGTTTCAAATGGAAACTGATATCTTTGTGCTCAGTGTAGGCTGCTTAGAGAGACTGCTGATGTTGTGTTTCAGTTGTTTATGAGTTACATTTTTCTTTCTTTTTATTGCAGCTCTTTCTTTTATGCCTTCCTGAATCTGCTGATCAGCGCCTTTGTGGTGTTTATCACATTTATTGCTAGCACTATAGTGAGTGTAGGATTTAACATGTGGTGTGATGCAATTACCGAAAAAGGAAGCATGCCAAATAGGTTAGTATTGAAGAATACATTTTCTCCTTTTTCTTTTTTTTTCATAAATGCACAAATGAACAGTGATGTTACAAACTGTACTTATTGCACGCAAGGTGAGCAAGGGTGAGAAGGCATCTGTAATGTGCAAATCCAAATTTCTTTCATCTGGAACAAACCCCCCGGAATATATTTATTTATATATTGCTTTCAGTACCCCACAAAGAAAAGTATGTTTCCATGGAGTTTCATGGTCTCTTTTAGATTCATTATTTTATACAAAAGAAATCCATTAGCTCAAAATGTTTTGTTTTCAAAGGAGAGCTAGATTTGGAAATGCTCTAAGAGTAGGTGGAGTGTGGTCTTGTAAGCAGGGCAGGGGACTTGGAGTCAGGGCTCCTGGCTTGCTGTCCTGGCTCTACCACCAACCCACTGTGTGACAGCGGTCAAGTCACTCATCCTGCTTGTGCCCCAGTGCACTGTCATCCAAAATTTGATGTGAAGATGCTGACCTTGTAAAGGTGCTGTGAATGCCCTGAGAGCCACAGAATTGAAAGTGCTTTGTAAGTGTCAACAGATTGTTGATACTTCCTTACAGTGCACAAAATGTGCAGCTCCTAAAATGGTCTGCTGTATCCAATGATGCTTATGCTCCTTATAGGAAACAAGATAAGTTGAGGTAGGTTTTTTCCTATCAAACAAATAACAATGAAGAGCTAGGAAAAAGTGACATTTTATGTCATATGATATTAAATAAACATATTATTTAAAGCATACATTTATGTTGCGCATTGCCGTATGTTGTAAAATGCCATAGTAAACGTTCTGTTTAGGGCGTCAACGATTAACTGAATTATTTGAATATTCGGTTAAAAATTCAATTACAAAAATGTCTAATCGAATATTCGGATAAGAATCCAAGATGACCGACAGCACTGAAAAGGAGAGAGAAGAGGCTGCAGAAATCAACCAAGAGCTAGAAAGTCATCTTCAAAATCCTGGGAAATTTTTCACACCAGTAAAAGTCCAAGTTATTTGTAAAATCTGTAGGCAGCCTCTATCTTACCATCAGAGTATCGTCTCCTTGCTGGAGCATCTGAAACAAAAACACCCACACAAGCCCTTCTTCTGAGGCTTTTCCTGATGAAGTCAAAAGGTAATGGAGGCTCATACGCTTTGTTTCATTGAGGGGTGAAGCAACCAACATGGGGCGATGCCAGATGTATATATGTGGGAGGCTTGGGCATAGTGGGCGAAGATGGTTTTAAGAGTACTGTTTTCATAATAATTATTACAATTCCACTTATGGAAAATTGATGTTATCACTTACATAATTATACATTAGTTTTTCATAAAGAAAGTAATTACATGCCTCTTTTAGCCTAGTTTTAGAGAAGACTGTCAAGCAAACTGGTTACTGTGATAACTTAAATATCTTCTGATGGAATATTGCCATTGTGACAGAAACAGATTTAAGATGTTGCTTTCTTTTGCATTGGGTTTGTCTGTTTGGAATCTCTGAAATAATTTTCTTTTTTTCCCCTCGAAATGCCTTCCCTGGGTAGCTGTGAAGAATTACAGGATATAGATCTTGAACTGAACTTAGAAAACTCTGCTTTCTATGACCAGTTTGCTATTGCACAGGTAGGTCAGACTAGGTCATAGTTCTTTTCCAGTTCATTTGCCACTTTCTTATTGATCTGGGATTGCTGGAGCTGACTTACCATTCCTCTGAAATCAATGAGAATGTTTCCACTGGGTTCAGTAAGTGCTGAATAAGGATGATAGTGATGGGCACATTTGCATTCTAAATTCAAAATAGATATTTTTGCATGCGGGTGTGTCAAAACCTGATTCTGCCACTGATCTTGTTACTCGTGATGGAAAATTTATTGTTTCTCCAAAAGATGAGCTCTGCAAAACTTGCAACACTGGTGTCCTGGAGCAATTCACTGCTGTTCAGAATAACGTCTGAGGCTATTAGCTTTGCCTTCCATGAGTTTTTCTGAGATGGTCTGAGCTATATAAATATCAGACCTTTGAAAATAAATATTACTGTCATTTAGACAGGCTGTTTTCCAATGAATCTTTAAGAATTCATAGAATCATAGAATAGTTAGGGTTGGAAAGGACCTTAAGGTCATCAAGTTCCAACCCCCAAATTAAACCACTAAAACCTTTCTACTGAATAGGCTAGTCCTAAGTTAACAGTCAAAGTCAGTGAATACTGGGACTTGGGCATTTGTGCGTGTGAGCACACACTAGATCTGCAAGGAGGATAGCCCCATCCCTGTAGGGCTGCAGCTATACACATGCTTCTTACATTGTCCCTCATGGGAAGAAGCATTAGGTTGCCTGGGGCACTCCTCAAAGGTGGCTTTTGGACACAAGCTAGTTTTGTGTCTTCATTGTCAGCACTGATATGTGGATACGCAGCTCAGATGTATCTGCATGGACCGAAATCTACTGTCAAAGTGACCTCTTTATATGATGCTAGCCCAAGGCCAAGCTGTATTTTGCAGCAGATTTTGCTATTAGATGCTAATCTACCAGCTAGTGGGAAGGTAGCAGAAGTCAGCCTGTTATTGGTCTGTAGATTTGAGTTCATGAGAACTAAATGTCCGTGTCCACCTTATGGTCTCTGGGTGGATGGTTGGGAATCTATATACAAGAAAAGTAATTTCTCTAACAAGAAGCTATGCCTAAAAATTAAAGTTCCATGCAGTTGAAGGAGAGTTAGCATATCACAGTGTAGATGGATCAGCCCAAGCCACTGAATGTGGCTCCCTACATCAATCCCCGTCCCTTCAAGATGCTGCTGTGTAGAGCAGGCTAGCTCCACCCATGTGCAGCCACTAAACTCCACAAACAACCAAATGTGAAGAATCTGGAAGCAGAACAGCTCCAGAAAAACAGCATTTGGCTTTAAAAGCTGAACCTGGTAATATCAAAGTGAATCTTAATTGTGACTGAAGAAAGGCTGAAGTCAAATTCTGCATCAGTTTTCTGATATCTAGAGTATGGTAATCAGAGTTGAATGAAGAGAAGAATGGGTTTGCCTCTGCAGGGCAACTAAGATGCTTTGAAATGGTAGAAATAAAAACTCAAGGATAGACTAATGGGCTAAAGCAAACATTTCCTTGTAAGTGCAATAATTTCCTATGCAGGCTTTACTTAAAAGCAGTGTCTGTCCCTGTATCTCTCATGTTTCCTCTATTTGGATGCTTCCAGCACATTAGAATGGCTCTGGGATTTTTACTGAATTTGGTTAAATCCAAGTAAGTTCTTTCATATCAAAGATGCTGAGAAGACCACAGCAGTAGTAGATATCTGAATGTCTATAAGATAACATTTCATTAATGAAGTAGTGCTTAAGATAGGAATGTTAATCTTCCAATTCTCTAGATATAGTCATATAAAGCCAAATTATTATGTTCTTATTTCCAGAGTTTGTAGAATAATTTAAAAGTATTTTTTACTGCTGAACTGAGATAATTGTAAGTATGGGCAGAAATAAGAGAATTTCCAAAGTGTGTAAGATATATAGGAACATAAACTCCCTTTAAAAAATAGTGTCCCTTGCTTATCTAAATTGACTGTTGGAGTACACAGCTGTATTACTGTCTGGAAATGTTTAAATATTTGTATTCTTTTAATTAAAAATTCAGTATATCAAAACTGAAATACTGTGATTCAATTAGTGCTTCTTTGCTAAAGGCATCATAGAATTAAAATGGAATTTCTGCCAGAGAGCCTTACTACAGATGAGCTTCCTCTGAGTCAGGGGTGCCAACATTTTTGTGCATGAACCAACGAAATTGCAATTATCTCTATGAAGTTAAGCAAGAGAGACTACGTTAGTGATGGAACTTATTGCAGATCTGAGACTTTAAGCCCAGGTCTGTAATGCTAGACGTAAGTGAGCCACCAGGCATTTGGATTCACTGTAGTGGGTTACTCTTGCTCTCAGAGTTCATACTGAACCAATTACCCCAGAATGCGAAGGTTTTATTTGTACAATTTTCTCAACAATATTTTGAATATAAATACCTTAACTTTAACACTTCTGCAGGGGTAGTGGAAGGCTGGAGGGACTTGGGAAGACAGTTTTGGAAAATACCTCAGACCATATTGCAATTCTAAAGTAACAAAAGTGAAATAATCCCAAGAATTTTTGGGCTGGCCAGAATGCTGGATATGGGAAGTTCAGAGGATGCACCTCATTTATACATATTTCTTTTTTTCATTATTGTGCTTAGCACTTTTTTTTTTTTCAGTTTTTCTAGTATGTAAGAATTTTTTTTCCTTTAAGCTAGGAATAATTTGTGTGGAGGAACAGTAGGGTCAGGACCTCACTGGGTGTGACTTGGTGTGACTCTATGGGGTTTGGTCCAGCTGAGATTTTGATATTCACCTGTACATTTGACTTTGTTTTTACAATACAGTACTGCACTCTTTATAATTTCTTTTTTATTCTAGTTTGGTCTCTGGGCTGCCTGGTTGACTTGGCTGGGAATTACCATTCTGGCTTTCCTGAAGGTTTATCACAACTACAGACAGGAGGACCTGCTAGATAGCCTGATTCACGAGAAGGAGCTGTTGCTAGGAAGATCCTCTTCACGATCCTCTTTGCAAGACGAGAAAAGTGGCATGATCTAAAGTGTAAGCAAATTTCCAGGGCAGGATGTAGATTTTAATATTCAGTAGTGTGAGCTGAAGTTGAATCAGGGTATTATCAGGTGTTGGAGAACTTTTCTTTCCTGAAAAGAGATGTACTTGAGAATCACCCACTTCCTCCATGAGAAACTATTGGCAGAAATATTACTCTTATAATACAGATACTGTAACCTGCTCTTGCCAGCAGAGTTCCTACTGCCTTTTGGGGTGGGGACCATTTTTGTGGACTGAGCTGGCAATACCAGGCTACAGAGTCCAGGATATTTTGTCAAACTATTCTGCAACAACAGTTGTCACTGTGGCTGTGTCCAGTTCCTCTTCCTTCCCTCTCCTTCCTTTTGCCAGTAAAGCCACCCCTATTCTCACCTTATTTTGCATAATTGCAGCTCCGGTACAGGTACAGACTCTCACTGTCTCTGCTTTTGCTGTATGTATGGATGCAGTGCTGACCAACCTATTGCTCCTGCTCTGATTTTGAGTTCATTTAGAACATAGAGACCTGTGTTCCAGACTTGATAATTAATATGGGGCAGTGTTAATGAATTTCATGCAACCACTATCTTCTTACAGTATCTGTCAAAAACTGTATTAGTAGGATGGATGGTGGAGAATTTTTGTGGGTTTTTTTCTTAGATTTTGGCATGATCAACGTTTATTATGACTCCTGAAGTATAGTGTAGCTAGCAATTGCTGAAGCTTGCAACTAAGAAATTAGGCTGAACAGGTAGTATTAATGCTTGTGCATTTATAAATGTAACTTGGTCCCTAACATTGTATACTATTCAGTTATGAATGTTAGAATTTGCTTGTGATATTTATTTCATATGGGGTATGCAAACTCACTATAAACATTTGCATTGTGGGTATCTCTGTTTATCTATAAATATAGCAAGGAGCTTGAACAGCTGAGGTATTTTATACATAGTTCAGTGTTGAATGGTTCCATTTTCCTAATTCATGGGCAGGAGTTCCAAGGCTGATGAATTTTGTTGTGAAAAAGAGCCATTACTTATACAAAGCTCACTAATGGCTTTGTTGTTGCTTTCAGTTTTGCTTGGCTAGCACTTCATCAAATAAGGTGTATGGTTTAGATGAGAAGTAGATGTGGTAATTAAAAGTGACTCAGATGAGCATGGGATTTGCACAGCAGGAAAGTAAAGTTGCGCTAGAACTAGGCAGTTATCCCCTGGTATACATCTCACTGAAGACCCCGATTCAGCAGTTAAGCTGAAGAAGATTTTTTGGGAGTACACTGATACTGCCTGTGGAAACTGTGTTTGAGCTGAAACTGAATTTATTGCAACACAGGTACAAACCATGCACAACTATATTACCTCTTAAGTAAGAAGGAATTAAGTACTGGCTTAAACTTTTGGTTGAAACAGAATTTGAAGTCATAGCAAATCCCTGAACTAGTAAGCATTTTAGGCCGTAAAATCTAACATTATACTTAACAGACAAATTTTTCTTACAGATTTAGCGAACAAAATGTCCATAGACTCTAAGCAGGAGCCAGCCCTGTAAACATCACTTAAAGCCCTAACCGGGCATAGATATCTGTAGAGAGATCTTGTTTTTCAGCATGATTTCTGTCCACATGGGTATGAAATTCATTTGTAAGCTGTACAGCAGTGGCTTTTGTGTAGTTGTGAATTGTCATCAGAGGAGGAGTTCCTGAAGAGGGAGTCAGAGATCAAGTTAGTTAACGCCAATTTAAAATTCAGAGATCAGGACTGCTGTAGTGCGTTTATTTATTCATTTGGTCAAATAAGTGATAGACTGCTGCAGGTACCTAAGCCCTTTAATAAGGCATGACCTTCCCCTTCATACCCTGCAGAAGAGCTTGGGTCCTGAAAGTCAGCCTGTTTTCTGTGTTTTATCAAACATAACTCAAAACATTTGCATAGCTCGAAAGTTGTTTCTCCAGCTGTAAAAAACACTACTTCTCCTTCCAGTCTCACTTTGAATTTAAGACTAACCAGTGATGTTTCTTCCCACAAATTACTTCAGCACATACCTTGCTCCTCAAGTGGAACCATGCTACTTCTTTGTGTAATATATTTTATGGATGTGTCAAGTCAGGCTTAGGTTGAAGAAACATGTGGGTTGGGACCACCATTCCTGGTCTTGCCTGGAGGTTTGAAGAACCAAGAGGCAGAAGATAGCACGTGTCTCTTCCTCATCCTTGCTCTGAGATACCAAGGCTCAAGTCTTTTCTCTGTTTCTGAGGAGGAAGAAGATGCTGCTCCTTAATAAGGTTGTCTGGAGCTCATGGTTTCTTCTACCTCTCTTTTCTCCTGTCTCAGGTTCTTTTCTTCTTTCCCACTTCCATGAGAAACAGCAAACATTGATTTGGGGGCTTCTATCTTGCTGACTTTTATGGTTATCATTTTCACTAATGTTTGTCACCATGACTCTATCTCACTGACACTGTCATCATTATTATGCAGCTCAAAAGACAAAAGTGGGATCTTAAAAGCACCTGGGGTACCCAGAATCCCACCTTGAAGTAAAGGTCAGTAGGAATGCAATATTTCAGCCTCTGGAAAATCCAGTCAAACACAAGCATGTGTACAGACTCACCTGTTAACTTGGGCATCAAAGCTTACCCTAATTCGTTTATATGGGTGAATTCTTCTAACTCCAGTTGCATTACAGTGCCCATGAATGCAATAATCTTGGCAGTTGAAGTTGGCATGTAAACTGAAAAGAGGCTGAAGATCTTTGAATCCCATGTGCATCTTGATTTATTTTTCGCAGCTTCCTTCACTTGACAAGGTAGGGTGAGGCTAACACCCAGCTTGCAAGGATGAGTGAAGCTTAGAAGTAAGGCTGTTCTGGAGGGAAGACCCTGTGCAGGTGAGAAGGTGTACTGAGAAGCTCTCTGGCTAACTCAGAGGGAGGAAGGGTATTGTGCAGGGTCCAGTTATTTGATCAGCTTGGGCTTTTTTGTTTGTGTTTAGCTTTCTGCAACCTCTTCTCCTAAAGCTTGGACACTTTGATCAACCTGATGATACCAGGCTACAAGTGTGTTACAATAGCAGTATTATTTATAAACACATGCATACATAGATACCTATGATCATTGCTGTTATTCATCCATTGCCAACCAGCACAGTGGGTGGCTGCAGTAGGAGTTTCTCTGAGTCAGACCTCTGGGAAGACTCTAGCAAGAGTGTTCAAAGAACTAGAACTCTGTGTAGTATTTATGCTTGTCTTTGTTTATTGTTACATGATAGAAAGGGAAAAAACATTGGGTTTGAACATCTTTGGGCTAACGGGAATCCTGTCTGTATCCAGATCCTAAATTTGTGCCTCAGACAACTTCCTTTGCTGATGGAAATAGCCCATTTTTATCTCATTGGAATGTTGGCTTTGGAGACCACAAATGTCCTTTTTTTTACGCTAAAGCAATCTGAGAAGAGAGGCAGGTTTTGCCTGGCTAGTTTCCACACCTGACACAGTGAGAAAATGCTCATATAGCTTCATGAGCACTGAAATGGCTTTAGAAATATTTCTGTTTATGGTCCTAATGCCTTAAATTGCATGTTTCTATTTTTGTCCTCTATGAGAATGAGAAAGACTAACCTAAGCTGTACTTTAGTATACATAGACATTTATCTAAAAGTTTTTAATTTTTTTTTTGAAATGACAAAATGACAATAATTTATGAAACTAACAACTACATAGAAAACAGCACTTTGATGTATTCCTGACATAGAAGGGAAAAACACAACTGCACTCTCTCAGAAAACTTAACATTTGTTTCTAGAAGTTAGACAGCAATTTACTTCATATATAGCAAGTGTTGCTTATTTCAGTGCAGGCATGTTATTGATAGTCTCTTTCCATTCTGTTGTTGGGAAGAGTATTTACATAGCAGTGCTTTCTCTTCAGTTTCTTTTTTTCCATGCCAAAGAGTACAATTGAACTGGTATTGCAAACACAGATTAACGTGAATGTATTCACCTGAGTGCTTCAACTTTTCTACCTCTCGTAGCTACTCTAACTTCTTGAACTGTCAATACTGTCAAAACTGATCATAGTCAAAAGAACTGAATGCCTGTGAGAGTTTAAATCCTATTTTCTTAGATAGGTAAAGGAATTAGGATTAAACACTTATTAGTTTTCTGTCAGATCCTTGTTGCTAAAAAATGGGCATACGCACCCAGGAAGGGTGAATAGCACTTTGATGTGTCATAGAACGCTTCTTTTTAAATTCTTTTTTCTCATCAAAACAAAAAGCCAGCAACTGTGATTTGTTAGATGTGGAAGGTTTTATGTTACCTGAAATGTTGCATTTCATAGGGGTGACAGAAAGTGATGAGCTATTTTTTAAAATGCCTGTAACTGTCCATCCCCACCTCCTGCCACTGCAATAACTGTGAGGCACAGATTTAAATCTCCCCCTCTGCCTTGGGAGACACAAGCCTCTGTCCACATGGCAAATGCTGCTACCATGTTGTTATCCTGGTTATCCTCCTATTATGCTGTTATCCTCCTATTAAAGCTATTCTACTTGGCTTGAAATTACTGAATAGCAATGTTTTACCCTGGTGTTTATCAAGGACACAAAGTACTTGGCAGTAAGAGCTGCACACTGAAATAGTTTGAATTATGTGTATATGGTAAAAACCCAATTGAGAAGTTTTGTTGACTGTTTTCATTTGACAGTGTTGTAAAGTGAGGGTTAAGAGGATCTATCAGAAGGTGGGACTGAAGATTCTTTGTTACTGAAGATTCATAGTTACTGTCTCAGGTGATTCTCACACAGGTGGGTGAGCAGTCCTGTGACAAGATTACTCTCTATTTACTTCTTGTTTCCCCTTGTTTCCACCAAGATTTGGACAATATGACCCAGTTTGTATGCAGGTTTTGAAGACTATTTATGAATGTAAGAAAAATTGCAGCTCCTATGTAAAAAAAATAAGAACAAGTGTTGCAGATTTTCCCTGTTCTCAGTTGGGCTCTCTGGAGTATGATGTTAAGCCTTTCCCTTTACATAAGCCAGGCCTGATTCAGATGACATGCTCCAAGGCTGGTGCCAGCAGACCCTCAAGGAACATGGTAAAGTTAGATGAGCGCTATGTTAAGGCACGGAAATATTTGATAATCATGTCATGATATCCCACGTAATACATTCCAGAGTTCTTCACTCTCTCACTCCTGCAGCAGAGGGAATTACTATTTTCCCTGTTAACACTGTGAAGTCCAATAGTTTGTCTCTGAGATACAGCATATCTTACTGTAACACAGAGAGTCTTGATTGCACCAGTTAACCCATTCCATTTTCTAGGCTGCTTCAACAGCTTTAACCATCATCGTTAACAGTGTTCTACATTTGACTTTAAAAGGCGCTAGCTATATCCTTATTAAAACACAGTTTGCTGGATTTGAAAGCAGTCCTTTTGCTAAATGACAGCTGTGTGCTGAACAGAATCCTTCCAGGGGAAGGACTATGCTATCGGGGTCCACGGCCAGTGCAGACTGATGGTATCAAAGCGATTCTGGTCAAATACCCTCTGAATAAAACTACTGCTGTCTTTCAGCCCGAGTTACACAATTGTGTCTGAAGTACAGCCCTAGGAGTTTTTTTGAAGGTTTATAAACAAAGCAAGACAACAACAATAAACTCCAACAGTTCCACTGACACCTCCTTCCCCTGGTTCCTTCAATTGCCAAAACAATTCCTGCAGCTTTCACAGAGGGTCTTATCACCATCAAGCTGATCAAGCCTTATTTCTCCCATCTCTTTCTTCTGAGGACAAAGATTGCTGAGGGGACTGAAGAGTGCCATAAATCAGAATAGAAACAGGTAGTGAGGAGAACTGTCAGCACATTTCCTATGAGGGATTTTGGCTTTCAGGCTGTGATATGAGGGACCCAGCATGGCACGGCCTATTGCTTACTACTTGCTC